TTTTTTATCTCCAGGGGCCTTCTTTCCAAATCAAGGCCAGCTGTCACAATTGAGAGGTTAACTGGTTCACAGCAGGACCCCAAATCCCAATGGCCCAAAGTCTACTGAGGGTCAGTGTTACACCCAAAGTTAACCATTTTGATGATGTTTTGAGTAGTTTGGAAGTTTTTGCTGATGAACTCAGATGTTGGAGGGGGAAGAGGCCTCCATGAACACTTGTGCAGCAGGACTTGCCTCCAAGAGTTACAAACTGTTCTTGTAACTTTAGCTTTTCTAGATATGTTATTGCTGTATACAAAATGTAATGATGATGGGAAATTGAAAGGAGCTGAGACTAGAATGAGGGAGGAAGATAGAGACTAAATAAAAATTGCAGCAGAGCCAAGGTCTCTCTTGTTTTATCATCAGTGATGCAGCATCCAATTATTGTCAGCCAGCCAGACCTTGACAGGGTCAGCAACTGAGTGTGTGCAAAGATGTATCTCATCTTTTTATCAAACATTACAATAACTGTTGCACTGGTTTTTATTTAGTTATCCATTCAAAACTCTCTTATTATAATCACTGGATGTCTTTTGGAACAACTAATTCTGTAAATAAAATTTGCTAAAAAGCTTTAGCAATTTTTTAAGAGATTAATAAAGTCAAATTTATTTGGAATACATTTGAAAAGACATCACAACGAAAAACAGATTATTTTCACTGCATAAATAAATATAAATCTTAAATTTTTTTAAGGAAGAATAGAAGACGCTGTGTGTATTAGAAAAGTGTTTATAATTCAGCTTTATCCAGGGCGACATCAGGGGTACAGAAGGACTTTTTTTGTATTTTGTTAATCTGTGTTACAAATGAAATGAATAAAGAACTACTACTACTACTACTACTACTACTACTACTACTACTACTACTACTACTACTACTACTACTACTACTGCTACTTTTTCACACAGAACATGTGATAAAGAAATAATTGTAGGTCAGAAGGTAGGAAACAGGGGTCTCTTCATAATATATCCTTCCATTATAGGGGTTTTCATTCCTCCATCCAACATAACCAACCATTAATGAACCTGTCCATCTAATGAACGGTTCCCTCTTTATCCATCTAACTAATCAAACATTTCTCAGTCCATCTATCTAACTAATCATCTAAGTAACTCAGTGGCAGTTCATAATTTTCAACATTTTTACAAGCATACAAACTGTACACTTGTGGGAATGGGTTCAGGGACTGGTGCATGCTTTTCAGAATGAAAATATTGTACAAATGTTTGATTTGCCTTATATAATCAACATGCTGAAGTTGTCCCACATAAATATTGACAACATGCAAATTTTGTTGTGCACAGTTAACAGCACTGTGCAAAACTACCATCTTCATTCATGGCAAACACACAAGACCTGTGTTGCTGCTGCTAGTTCAAGTCTTCACCGAGCTGGAACTTCTAACAAACAGAGCCTTTCAGAGGTAGTTCAAAAATGCTGCAAACAGGCTTCAACTCTTGGTGTTTTAAAATCTATCTTAAAACACACTTGTTTTCAAAAGCCTTTAGTTCGGCATGAAAGTTGACTTCTMCACTTTTTTTGTTTGTTTTTTTGTTTATCATATATGTTTTTATTGTTCTTATGATATTGCATTCTGTTTTGTCTTATTATCATTTGAAATATATGAAGCATTTTGGCCAACGATGGCTGTTTTAAATGTGAAATTTAAATGGTAAATGGGCTGTAGGGGAGACCGGGGACAGTAGCAACAAGGGACGGTGGAAACACATCATTTTTCTCCAAACAGAAACAAGAGTGATGACACACTGTACATGCTCAGTTAGATGCCCCACCTTGCAAAGAAAAAGTAAGAAGTTTCAAAAACTGCTCCAGGATTTATTTGAAATTTTTTTTTGATGTACCAAAGTATTTTTTGTTTGCCCAGTTTTATTTTTGTTATACTGTTGTCACTGTTTTTGTGATCCAGCTCAAACTTACAGTATATGGTTTAAACAAATGACATGTTGACTTTTAACTAATATAGTTAACATGTATCAGCTTATTTAGCTAACACATGAGGTTTTATCATGGCTGACAGGAAGAGAAGGGGGACAGTTGCAACAGTTGCAACTGTACGACTGTACAACTGTACGATAAATCCGTATAAAAACAGAGCACATACAGATGATATAAAGATGTTGAATTTAAGTTTACACTTAAAAGGGTATTGGGTGTTCATGATAATTTTATAGTTTAAAACATAAAAGCATTTAAGATGTATTTTCTGCAGTTGTTGTTTTCAACAAACAATGGTTTTAAAACTCCAGTTTCTTTCAATGTAAATGTTGCATAATGTAGGCGTACAGTGACAATAGGCAAAACAAAAGTTAATTGCCTCACAAATTGTTCTGTCATTCTTGTTTCTAAAAGCCAACTCTATTTTATATTATTGATTTGGGTCTTTGACATCTAGGTCTACTCATGAAGGCAAATCTATTTGATCAAAAAGAATAAATAAATAACACTGTAATATCATTATAACTTACAGTTTTTATGAATTAAGCAATAATAT